GGGCAAATCCTTATGACTGTGTTCATTGCTGTGTTCATTACCTCTATTCTGCTGATCGCCAATAGCTTTCTTTACCGCTATCTTCAGGTCTGCAAGTAAGTGAGCTTGTTTTCCAGCAAACATACAAACCACTTATTACTGGCAAACTTCCTTGGCATCAAATCTCTTCACTTATTCAAACTTGCAACTGATTGAAGCTGTTGTAAATGTGTAACACACCGAGTTCACCGAAATTTTTAAAAACAGTAAACTGAAGTATCGCAGATGAGTTCACCCTTTGAAGACGAATTCCGCGACTGTTCACTTGCAAACCTTCAGTCGCTAAATGAATATTCGGTTAAAAAAAACAAAAATTTCAAAGTCTAGAGCACTTTAGATAAGCTCCCCGGCAGCTTCTCTGAACGAGTTCTTCGCACTTGCTCGCTTTATGTCAGCAAGTCTCAGTAATGGTTTCTTCGCGTCACCCAGCGCTAATACTGTGCACAAAATAGCCTCTGAGGGTGGGCGGGACAACTGGGAGGTGTCAGAACTGCCGCTTATGAGGGCCACACTGGCATTCTTCGTCGTTCTTAGCCTCTTATTGAATGTGATATGGTATGTCAGAACTGCCGCTTATGAGGGCCACACTGACATTCTTCGTCGTTCTCAGTTTCGTGTTGAATGTGATATGGTATAACAATAATTGCATCTGCCATCTGATGTACAAGCCAATTTTTTTGTGCTCCCTGACGAACCTAGCTGCGATTCACCATACTCGTTGGGCAGAAGATTTGGCTAGCTTGAGCGAGAGCAGAAGTTCAGTGCCTGTTCGTTAGCGTGGTAATCGAGCACTGCCACGATATCACCTCCGTCTCTTTATGATTTGTTGTATGTTTGTTTTCAACGATTCCTCTCCTTTTTTCCTCATAAGCGAATTAACTATCGTTTGAAAGGTCGCTACCTACCTTTCTGCTGACTCTTCGCGAGGTCTGCCTTCGAGTGTGCGGCTGGCCGTGTCGCAACATGAGCAGAGTTCCGAACGGCACCTGAATCACTACACTCCAGCACTGTCTCGGCGAGTCATTCGGGCTTGACTGACCTAATTGCCTCTCATGATTTCCATGCAAACGAGTGCACACTTTGTGCACAAGCGTCATCGGGCGCGGCGGTCACAATACCACGCCAACTTATCTAATAGCGATTTATCTGCGGGATTTTTGAGCAATTTTCATGTGAGCCGTATACGATAAGATAAAACCTCTCTCAACCTAAGCCGAGGGCTGAAAAAACGACAGCATTCGAAGGTATTCTGGTACAGTGTGATCAGGGCTATTGCGAATACAACGTCGGCTGTGTCATTACCGTTTTCCTAAAAGGGAAATTTTGTCGGGCACTGCTACGCAGAATTTTAGAGCTGTTTGAGCTTGAGCACTATTAGTTTTTTTTTTACATTTTTTTGGTCTTATAGGTTGTAACATCGCAGTCACTAGGAGAATCTATGACGGTGAGTCGCCTCCAGCTGGCTCGCTCCACTAAAGTGGTAATCAGCTAGTGATCTATTTAGAAAGAAAACAACCAGTGGTGGCAAGGCCGTAGGGAGGAGGGGCCAGTCCAGAAATTTGAAGCTGAAGCCGACTGATTGCGATGCTACCACTTTAGGTTGCTGACTACTTTTTTTCTTCAACGTATGAAGGATTCCTCATTGTTATTTCAGACACCATCTCTTTGAACATATCATGGCTCCACGGAATCTCTCTGTCGTAATTCTCGTGAATGCAGCGATTTTCGCAAACTGGTTTTTAGTTACTTACGTAGTGTACTGGCCGAATGATCAATTTACTGCAAACATCAGCCAAATGGCCAAAGAGTTCACTGAGTTAGATGCTTTCAAATGCGCTCAGATTGGATTCTCCGTAGTAAGTCTCACGTCGTCTTAATCTTCAATGAGAGAAAAAGGTCGCTAGCAGAACTAGAGAAACAGTAAGCTCTCTTTGTCAATCTGGCATAATGTTGTGATTGTGGGAGCATTCTCCATCAAGGGT